AAAAAAAAAGCCACCAGGCAAGGCAAACAATTAAACAGGGGAAAGACAGGGAACCATCAGCAGGAAAATAATGTAACAAGGAGAAGCCAATACATATCACGTTAATGGTCTTAATTTACCAATCAAAAGAAACAGACTGACAGAATGGACCAAGAAAGAAGATCCAACAATATGCTGTATATAAGACACACATATAACTTAAAATTCAGACTGCAAGTCAAAGGAAGGAAAACAATACTCCATGTGACACAAAACCCAAAAAAGCAGGGGTATTCTTTTTGCAGACAATGTGAACTTCAAGCCAAGACTGATGGAAAGAGATAAAGGACACTACACACTTAACTAAGAAGAGATAAGAAATTATATGCACCCAACTACAGAGCTATATAAACAAGTATTAATGGACATGAAAAATCAAATAAGCACTAACACAACTGTAATGGGAAAACTTAATACCACACTGTCACAAATATAGATCAACCAGACCTAAACCCCCCCAAAATCAAATAGAATTGAACCAAACACGTGAACAAAAGGAATCAGTAGTTAGTGTTTCCACCCCACAGTATCAGAAGACACATCCTTCTTAGCATGTGGCATGTTCTCTAGACCACACACTAGTCCACAGAACAATAATCTTATATGACTTGTTCATATTAAGCAAATGCAAAGGCAATGAAATTGTTCCATGCATATTATCTGACCACAATGTAATGAAATTGGAAAACAATGGCAAAAGAAAGCACAATAACTCCATAAACACATGGAAATTAACATCATACTGAACAACCAATAGGTCACAGAAAAAATTAAGCAGCATCTGTAATTAAATGTTACTGTCGACACAACATACCAGAACTTACGGAACACAGTGAAAGCAGTCCTAAGAGGGAACTTTATTGCAGTGAATTCTCTTATCAGGAAAACATAATGATCTCAAATAAACAATTTAATGTTGAACCTCAAACTTCTAGGAAAAGAACAATTCGTGTAAGATTACTTGATAGGAGTTTCTCCTAACATCCTTCTGACATCCACCCCAAATTTGTGGCAAAATAAAACTTCCTTTCTACTACAGCAATTTAACTTCTGACAGTTTCTTCCTATCTACACAAAAGCTAAATGACACAGTTTACTGGGATTCATCTTCTTTACATTCCAGACAATCTTCCATGGGAATCTCTGTTTCAATTATCTTTATGTGGGATCTGGTTTCCAGGCTTACCTTTCTCAGCACTAACGTGACATCTCCACTGGATGTCCCAAAGGTACTGAAACACATTCTATCTACGTTCAAATGAACTGTACATACCTGGTTCTCCCCAAAATACCTTCATTTATTTTTTCTTACTTCAGAAAGTATGTCCAGATGCTTGAACTACCCCAGGATTAATCTACGTCTTAACTTTTTTCAACTAATCATGAATTCACAACAGTATTTCTTCCTAAATACTCTTAAATGCTTACATCAAATGCTTACATCTCTCCACCCTCATTGCTACAACCCTAATCAAAGGCTTTGTTACCTTTCCACTGGATTACTCTTAACAAATGGCCTCTCTTTTTCATTTCCTTCAATCCCATTTTCTCAAGGTAGCCAGTGATTTTTAAAACACACATCAAAGAATCCCAGAAGATGACAAGCACACTGTGTATAGGACTAATATTTGTTGGAAGTTATTTTACATTTTTGTGATTTTATGACACTGACTTCCTATCACGCTTTAGTGACATACAGCAATCAAGTTTTAAAAGACTCAGTGGTGGAACACTTACAAAAATAGTATTTATATTGAACAGATTAATACACTATTATGGTCAAAATAGCAGACAATGTAACAGGTTAAAAGTGTATTATATGAAGGCTGTTTATGCCTTTTAGTTCTGAAGCATAATTCAGAGTAGGCAAGTATTTACAGAGTATAAACCCTGTTAAACATAAGCAAAATGTGATTTTTAAAAAACTGAAATCATTAAATAATTCATTGTATTCTTATTTAGCAATTATAAGACAACTTTGGACTATGTTAAAAGTGAGTTTTGAAATAGAAAAACAATTAGGAAAAATTATACATTGGTATACTTTTCAATTAATGGCTAGTATTAAAATAATTATTTGAGGTATACATTTAACATTTTCCTTACTAGAAGACAATTGTTTTAAGTACTAGGAAGATGGAGAGAATTAATTCAAAACCATGAAAAGATGGTAGAGATGGTTGTTGACATAAACACCCCTTGTGTATTAACCTTGATCAGACCACTGTAAGGTTAAATCCTCCATATAAATGACACCAGTATAAAAGGTAAATTAGGTAACAAAGGAAATCTAATGAGAGTCAGTAATAAAGCACCCACACTCTTGAATTAGATTTCCCAAGTAAGATGATCTTTGAGTACCTATGAAATATGCAATACTTATAATTCCATTTAATTATTATTCCACGGCTGAAAGGACTGTTGGAATGGACTTCTAATAATTTGTACAAAGATTGAATCTCCAAACTTATCAAACTAGTACCACTGTACAATTGTGTATATATGTGGGGACTTTCTCAAGACTTCCATCTGTCAGATATAGAAATATAGATTCCAGACAAAAGCTTTATGTCCCAAGAAAACAGGAAACAATAGACAGAGCTCAAGGAGAGCTTCCGTCTGTTGTTTGTAAATTCTGGGAAAGCTGGGCTTCAAGGCTGCAGATAGCAGCTTCTCCTTCTGGCGCCTGTTCTTTGATCACTTGCTTCAGATGTTATCAGCTAGCACTTGTGTGGACCTAGTGTGAGGCAAATGGTGGAAATCAACAGAGACAGTAGTTTGTATTCACTTAATTACGCACATTCCTTGGCCTGCCTTTACCCCTCAATAAATGTGAGATGCTTCTGAGGCTCTGGGCTCACTTGAAGAGAGACTAATCTCAGTGAGACCTCTAAAGCTACATTCATCAGCTCTTCTTGTCGTTTCTTGCAGCACCGACCCATAACATACAACAGTAAGAAACCTGATATAACTCCAATTATGTTAGAATAAACAATTTTATTGCCATCAGCTAAGAAAAGAACCTATTATAATAAACCTAGAAATCTGTGATGTTAATGAACATTTACCAAACATGTAAGGCTGATACACTGGTCAAGCCATAAAATCTGTCACTTAATAGCCTTGTCCTAAACTAACTGTGGAGACTACTTCTAATAAAGCTGAGAAAATTCCCAAACTGAAATATTAACTACCATCAAGTTAAGGTCTTGATCATAAACAGGTATTTACATTCAAAAGTTCTTATTTAGAATATACTTTATCAATGAGGAAATTAACAAATGTGCCTTGCAAGAAAACATTTTTTTTAGGAACAAGGACAACCAACCCCAGCCTAAAAATTATTTATTTCTTTATTTGGTACCGGGCATTGAACTCAGGACCTTGAGCTTATGTCACTGAGCGATCTCCCCAGCCCTCCGGGGGATTTTAAAAATTAAAAACAAAAATCCCACGTTTTTAAAAGTTAAAAGTAAATCTTCAAATGCTTCCTCAGAATTAGTGTTACCAGAAGGCATTCTAGTTAGTAACAAAGACATGTCTAATTTTACAAAACTTCTCTTATTTTCGTAATGTTCAAGATACTCCCCTTAGACACCCAATCAACCTGGGAATACTTACATATGCAAATTCCAGCCAACCAGTCAACCAAAGGTCATCACACTTTTTCTAATTGCCCCAGTGATTTGTGAGGGCTAAACTATTTTAAATTAAAAGACAAAAGCAGAAGACTGAGCTAATATATTTGGTATGCTATTTTATCCTCAAGTACAGGCAAAAGACGACCTTGACAGAGTTCAGGAATTTATTCTACTATTTCTTCTGGATTATACCATTTGCTTCCTAGTTTTAATACAATAATGACCAGATAGCCTGATTTTCTGGAGACAGTTTGACAGAAGGTTGTCAGCCCAAATAAGTTGATAATGTACCATCCCAGTCCCATTTTATAAAGTTACCCATTCATATTGATAAAAACAAGTATGAATTTTGCAAGCTGAAATCTGGACACAATATATGTGGTTTAAACAAAAAACAAAATTTGTAAAAAGTAATACAGAAAATCTAGACAAATTGTGATGGAGAAGAGTTGTAACTCAAGTTATACAAGATAAATTAGAAATTTGTGATAACTTTCAAATTTGCTCATTCTAATTATGTCATCCAACTTTTAAGTACAAATTAACATTTCATACATTATTTTTCAAGATTTTCTGCCCACTACGATTTTCATTAGTACCCATCAAGTCAGTAATTAGTGTCTCCCCTTTTCTTCTGATAAAATAACCATTTTCAAGTATTAAACTCTCTCAAAAGGAGGACTGTTTGATATTACCACTGCCATTTTACTGCAACTGAGTAACAAAAAGCGAAGCTGAGAGCATTGTTTTCATATTGTAACATTTTAATGTTTTAAGAAACTAAACACTTTCTAAAAGAAAGGAAAACTTTTGGATGTGCCAAGTAGCCCCTTTGCAGTTTCTGGGGAAAACCAAAACTTGTTCATTTTGTCACTCAACAACAATCGCCCTATTTTTTTTTTTTTCAAACTACCTTAAAATATCTTGCATTCACAGGGATAGCCTAATTAGAGTCCACCTTAGTTTCCTGAAGAACTAAGGAGATCAGTGAGTCTGAAGAAGTGGCATCCACACAAAAGACATGTTTTGTGTATCTTAATTATTTTTTTAATGACTCCTCAGCTCTATACGACTTATATTCAGAAACACTTTCACCAGGACAGGAATTACCCTGTCCTTCTGTTATAGATGAATATAAAAAAAAATAAAAAAGTAGGGCAACTAAATTAAAATGACAGTCTACTTTCAGTTTAAGAAATAACCACATTTTTTTTTCCAGGAAAGACAACAGGCTACCACCACCTTTAAAGTTCAAATTCCAATCATCTCTAACACACCTGTGCAGGAGATTAAAAACAAAACAAAAACCACACATAGACATAAGCTCAAGGTAGAGCTGTATTAAACAAATTCCTTTTATAAACAAATTTTAACTGAAAAGCCACAGTAGATGGAAAAGAAGAAAGGATATTACTTGGTAAAATCCAGTGACATCTACAATAGTTTTACAGCACATTTAAGCATTCTAGGGTTTTATATCTTCACCTGCCTTCCATTTCTTGGGTGCTTCTTATAAAATTGCCAATTGTGAATATAGGTTTGACTTCAAGTCTAGTCCCGACATGAGTTTCAAAAAAAAGCAAAACACTCCAAATTTCTATCAATAGTATGGCCTTAATTTCTTTTTAAAAAGGTTCGTCTAAAAGACAATGCCCTACTAAATGGGAGAAAAAGCAGCAATATGTAATTATATAGAATAGTTATTCACTGTATGGGAGTGTTTTTTGTATGATATCTAGAATGCACTTACTCTCTCCGCCTTGTCAATATAAAATTACTTAGACCAACACTACCAAAAATAAGAGTACTACAGGGGCACACATTTACAATTCTGCTAGTCTTAAAGGCAGTAAAGAGAAAGAAAATATATCAAATAGTACATGCACATCTTACATAACTTCCATGGAACTTCCAATGGCTTCTATGCAATGTGCCTCTTTTCCATAACTGTATCACCAACTACCAAGAAAGGAAAGATAAGTTTAAAAGTAATGGTACTGAACTGAATTGTTTGAAGCCAGTGCCCCACAAATGGGGAAAAGTGCATTTAGTTCAGCAGCAATACAGCACAGTGTGAAGATATTGTGCTTAGACACAGATATTCCAGAACTGAAAGATGTACAAGGCAAGTCAAGATATAAAACCATCGTACACTGTTAAATAACCTTGAAACATACAGATATTGCAGTTTTCAAAGAAAGACATTCATTTCATTATACAAGGAGAGGGAGAAAATTCCTTAAAGTTACCTATTGTAGTTCATGATATAATAAATACATATCTATATAGCATTGTATATACATATATAGAATGTGTTTATGTATAATTTATTTGCCAAATTTGTTAGTTTTTGTGGATTTGCAACTTTCAGAAATGAAAAAAGAATCCTCTTAGCTACAAATTTATGTTCCCCCAAACTTAGAAAACATATTTATACTAGGAAAGATTTCAATACCCTACCCTCATCAAAGACTCACCTAAGATATTTCGCTTCACAATTCATCAGAGAAGTAAAATTAAAAGAATTTTAGATTTTTTGCTATTTATTTTAATCTTTCCAGTTGTTTGAACAAGCAAATATCTTAATATTTAAACCAGCGGATGCAAATTCTTTAACAGAGGATATAAACTCTAGTTGTAACTAATTAAAAGAGCAAATGAAAACAAACAAAAATTCAATGACTCTGACTGTAAACAATATATAAAATTTAAATCTCAAATTTCAAAATAAGTTAAGGAAATATTTCACCTTCAGGGCCTATGATATATAAAGATCTGACAACTGGTGAAGGAAAAATGTTTATGAAAAGTCGCAACAAAATCATTTGCCATTATTTTTTCTAAGAGAAATGTTTATCTAACTATCCTACATCTGTCCCTTAAATTTAACAAATTCATAATTTGTTGGCAATTTTTAAGCAAACTGGCATATGAGATTACACAACAGAAAAACATCGATCAAATTCAGCAAAGAAAACTTATGTAAGCTCTTTGTACAGAGTTTTTTAAAAAAATCTAAATGGCTATGATTCCTCTATTAGCAGAAACACATAATGCAGTCTTTATAAATCTGCCATATATATCAATATCTACATAAATAGACACAGATACAGATGTGAAACATGAACGGCAGTCTGATTCTCAACAGTGTGTAGGACACGCAGATCTGCATCAGACCATGGCGCGATACGGACCCTGCATCTTTAGGAACTGAATGATGAAAGAAGGGCCCCCAGCAACAATCTGAGGGGGGAGGTGACTGAGTGGACAGTTCTCAATACTCATGATTGAAAGCTTGCTGCAGAGAGCTAACTCAAAGGGAAGGCTGTGCAGGTGAGGGTTGTCATTCAAATACAGTTCTTCTAGGTTCTCCAGTGTACCTATTAAAAAAAAAAATCAAATTGATTATTTTCAAAATTAGTTACTATAGAAATTCAACTGAGAATTACATGCCTTTAATATATATCTCCTTTTAATCTTTTTCTACAGTTTTAGAATTCTACAATGAAGGACCTCATACTTGACTGCATATTCAGATCAACTAGATATTTTTAAATTCTTCACGCTCAATTCAAATTCTGTATAAATACCAACAAAATCAGAACCTTATCCTTAATTAGTTTTGAAGATTGGATTTTGAAAATTCTCCATGCCTAGACAGATTCTGTTTAGAATAGCATGGATATGGGGAAATATATATATATATATATATATATATATGCATTTTTATACAATCAGTGTCTACATTATTTTACAGATAATGAAATTTATATTAAATTTCTCATGTGGAGAATTGTTTTGATATAAATCTTTCATTAACAGAGTTATCACATACCAGTAAACCAAGTCAGTTTACGTAGTTTAAATATTTTTTCTTACACTATCTTAGGCTATTTGTATTTTCTATGTAAAGTACATGAAGTCAGGTCAATCAACCTACTAGAAATATAATCACAAAGTTTCCCTGTATTTACCTTTATATGCACAAGATGGGTAAGATAAGATCCTGAGAATCTTCAGCATGTTTTTGAAACTAGCAGTTAATTGGTAAGATTCTCACCCTGACTGACTATATATGCTGATATCTGTGAACTAAGCAAGGGCACTGAAGATAGCAATGTGTAATGGTAGGGTCATGCTTGAAATGCCTGTCATTCTGGTCTTCTAAGTACGTACTGCTTGTCATGACAGCAATTACTGCCATACTGTTTCTCAAGTAAATGTTTGTTTAAAAGGAGGGGGGCAATAAATGAAAACAAGAGACAAGAAAAAAAGTTTCCCTGTACGGTTCCAATTATAACTGTCAAAATCTAGATTACATGAAAATGGTATTTGTTAGAAAAAAATAAAAATAAAAGCTATCAGATTATGGATTTGTTTACACATCAGTATTATTCAGAACAGCTCTATATGAAGCAAATATTATTATCCTTATTTTACAAATAAAAATCACAAGGTTTAGAGTGTTCATGTGTCTTATCCAAAGACACAAAGCTAGTAACTAGCTAAGTCGAATTTTAACTTTTCTACCATCATCAAGACCATTTTTAACCACTAATCTACAGAGCTTTTGGAATAGAACACAACTGATGGCAGAAGACAATCCACAGAACTACTAATTTTAGAATTATAGTTCAGATGGGAATATAACTAAGTAGGAGAGTGCTTATCCAGCAAGCATGAGACTCTTGATTTTCCTTTGGGAAAAATTCTAAGGTACATCCAATGATGTTTGGTATAGATATTAATCACAAAGCCTCATAAAGAAATGCTTTTTTGGCGTAAGACATTAATAATTTAATTCAGTCATATAATTTTTATTTATTTTTTGTATTTAGGACACGGTCTACAGAGTCTCACTGCATAGATTGGACTCACAGTGATCCTGTTTACAGCCTCCCAGGAGCTGGGATTTCAGGCATGTACCACCACGCCTAGTCTCAATCACTGTCTCCCAGGGGACAGGGCCAGCATGGTAAGCCAGGGATCAAAAAGTCTTATAATTTTTAAGTCTGGAAGAAATAACTCTTCTAGACTGAGATTGTATAAAATTTACTGTAAATATAAAGTATACTAAAACATTCTCAAATACAATGCTAATCCAAATACACTATAAAGAAACCTAATCAAAATCACTAACCAACACCAACCACTGGAATGCTACCAAAAAACTTAGGCCTGATATAACCTCAGCTTACAAAAACAGATCTCTCAAATTTATCTGAAACATTGTATGCGAGCCCAAGAGCATCTTCTTAACAGGGAGTCAGCATCCTGAGGGCTCCTACCAATTTCCTCAGGAAGATGAGTCAGCAGATTTTCTCCGAGGCCCAGGTGTGTAAGGTTGGTGAGGTGACCAATGCCTCTAGGAAGCGTGGTCAATTGGTTGTTTGTCAAGACTAATTTCTGAAAGATTAATAAGAGACAGTTACACATGTATTTCCTACAACCAAAATAAATATAAACCAACACATTCACCAAAGAACAAAGCAGGTAAATTAAATTTAGACTTATTAGGTTGAGCGATTTTCTAATTATTACTTGTTAGAACAAAAGCAGGTAGACTGTACAAACATAAAACCCAGGCTAATGCTGTCACAGAAATACGTGGCCAAAGAATTAGATCAAAATCTTTTTTAAAATGTAGTTTACAATTGGTTCTACTAGCTTCAATCATAAAATTATAAAGCCACTAGGTCATTTTACCTGTAAATCCTTAAGATAAGCAATTTCATTTGGCAAGGATTCCAATTTGTTCTCTTCTAGATCCAACTCTCTTAATTTTCTAAGGTTCCCAAGACCATGGGGAAGTTTCTTTAGAAGATTGTTTGATAGTATTAGAACCTAAAAAGAAATTATCCATAGTGTTTGACAACTCAAGAAATGGAATTAAATTTATTAGTGTTGTGTAGCTTAAAACCTATCTAGCAATGCTATTTTTCTATACAATGAATGTTAAGGTAACGATTATATAACAAAATATTTTATTTACTATTCTAAAAATTTAAAAATCTACCATCGTGAGTACAAAGAGATTTTTATTCAAATATGTCAAAAATAATCAAAATAAGGGCCGGGGAGATGGCTCAGTGGAATAAGCACTTCCCTGGCAAGTGCAAGGCCTGAGTTCAATCCCTGGTTCCGAAGGGGGAAAAAAAAAAAATCAAAATAAGTAATTTTAACTAAAATACAAAAAATAAAATTAACTATTTGCATGAAGCTTCATATTTAGTTAATATATTCTGATGCTAAATAGCTATAACTGTCTACTAGGTAACTGATTATTCATAAACATCATAAACTTCCATTTAAGGAAGTCAGAAATGATTAGTAATTATCCTCAAGCCACTATAGTTATTATTTGTGGTATTAAGTACATCTTAAGACATCTTAAAAGATAAAAAGGGGGTGGGGAAGGCTGAAGAAGACAACCCTTGTTCTCAAAGAATTTATAAATTAGAAGGGAAACAGGCAGGCAAGGAAACAGGGATACTAGAAAGAGCACTAAATAAAAAAGATGTACATAAAGTTATAGCCAGTTTTTTACATAAACTTGTTTTACCCAAAGTTATATGTTTCATAGGAAGATATATATATATATATATGTATATATGACCAAGGAAACAGCAGTTGCTAGATAGAGTCTATCATTTGCAGGGCACTATACTAAATGTATTATGTACCTTACCACATTTAACACTAATTACAACTCTATGAAGTAATATTATCCTAGGAAACTAGAGAACTTAGGAAATGGAGAAGCTTGGGCAGGTTGAATCCATAAATAAAGGGAGACCAAACAGGAATTATACCCAGATCTGTTGGATTTCAAAGACCTCACTGCTAACCATTATACCATCTGACTTCACCTCATTAAATAAAAAAGGATTTAAACAAATGTACACAGGAGAAACTATATACACTGTGAGTCTTTTCACCAAAAATATTAAAACTGTAGGGATTCAGAGGCAGGAGAAGTCATCCTTACTAAGGAGTGACAATACAGCACTGAGAACAACAGAATTAATAGAACAGAGTAATAGAAATGTGGATACCACATTTATAACAGAATGATTGAAGTGGAAATTGGGATAGAGTCATAGTAAGATTTTAAATTTACATGCCAGTCTGAATACTTTTGTAGACAATGATATACTTCTTACGAAGAATTAAAAAAACAAAACAAAACTGAATTTTTGAAAACTTTTCACAAAAAGACACTTCATAGCCCTCAAAGCTACCAAAAATGGCCAAGAGTAATTGAGAAGTACTACTCTAGACTAATTCATTCAATATACCTCATTATCCTAATAGAGTTGTAAGAGAGCTCTAATTATGATCTTCATCAAAATAGAAACAGCTTATTTTAACTTTGAATTTTGTAAGAAAACTCAGGAGAGTCTGAGGATTCTAAATGTTCATTTACACACACCTCAAGAGAAACTAGACCAGACACATCCTCAGGGATCTTTGTGAGCTGATTAGTAGCTAAATTCAATTCCACCATACTGGTCCAAGTTCCAAAATCCAAAGGAAGTGATGTTAACTGATTGTCCTGGCAAAGACAAAAACAAGCATCACAAGCAGAAACCAAAAGAAAACACTATGCATAGCTCCTGTCGGAAAGAGCATTCTAAAACCACATCTTCCCCTTTAATATCTAAATAAATGTAAAGAGAAGAAAAGCAAAACCCTTCAGCCTCTATTAAGTTTTTCTGTACAGCGATCAGGCTTTTAAGGTTAAAGGAGCAACTGTTTCTTATGTGAATATCCCTAATGGAAATAGAAAACTATAATATATGGAGAAATCACTAGAGATTTTAAAGGTCCTGGTGATAAATACGATGTTTTCCTCATTTCACAATACTGTACAAAAGTCACTGAATAATAAAATGTGAATGCACAAATTAAAGTATGAGCATAATGGAAGACACAGTCTAAAGGCAAACACACATGACCTCAGAAATTGAGTTGCTAAGCTACAGGAAAAGGTAGTTTTAGCAAATGAAATCATTAAAATACTAAACATCAACCATTCCACTTTTAAAATATTTATATTTTATAATATGGCAAAATACATTCACCATTAAATAATAAAAAACAGCTGTGGTGATGGTACACTTGGGAGGCTGAGGCAGGAGAACTACTGCACATTACAGATAAGCCTGGGCTACATAGGACGTTCAAGGCCAGCTTGAGCTACATAGCACAATTCTATCTTAAAATAATAATAATCATGCTGAAACAGTATGACTCTAATTTTGTTCAAAATTTTTAAATGATTCACTATTTTTCAAGCTTTCACATATTTACTTCTCAGATGCACTCTGATCAACAGCAAGCCTTAACACATCGCTGTGTGTCATACACACTGGTAGTGGGCAGGACAATGCACCCGCCGCACTGATAAACATCAAAGACACAATGTTAATAGTTTATCTCCCAGTTGTGGGATTATTTTATGTTCTTTTATTAATCTGCATTTTTAATATTTTTCTAAGACATGGATTACTGTCTCACTTTAAAACAATCATCCATATGAAAATTTTTGATAATTATAATATGGTGAAGTATTTTCACTTTTATTTATTTATTTATTTTTGCAGAACCAGGGATTGACTCAGGCCCTTGTGCTTGCCAGGGAAGTGCTTATTTCACTGAGCCATCTCCCCGGCCCCTTATTTTCACTTTTAAAAATTTACTACTGGTGCTTATATAGAAGAAAACATTAAGCTTCAGTTTGCTTTCTTCAAGAAAAAATTTTGTATGCAGGGCCCAGGGGTTAGATCCCCCAGCCTGTTGTGCTGGTCCTGCCCCTGGGGCACACTGAGACAGCAATTGAGACTGGGCATGGTGGCGCACACCTGTAATCCCAGCTCTTGGGAGGCTGTAAACAGGCAGATCACTACGAGTTTGATCTGGTTGCAAGACCCTGATCACCCTGTAGACACTTCCCTAAAATACAAAAAAAAAAGAAAGAAAAAAAAAATTTTTTTTGTAAACATTTATCTTATCTGAGGAAAACTCAGAGCTCTATGCAGGGTTTTACGGAAAATAGCAAGCCTTTCCGAGCTAATCTACCATAATAAAAATGTATAATCACACACAAATGAGTAACATCTGGACCACTATTCTAAGCCTATTCTGACAAAATGAGTATTCAAAACTAATACTAACATCATTCATTCATTACTTTCATTGATTATATTAGTCATATAACCAGATTATTAAATTTTATAATACATTTACTTAAGCTGTAAGATTATCATGAATTTACACTAGTCCACTTCCAAAGAATTGTCATAAAAGATGCATACTGTATTTATGACCACGTATAGTTTATTAGCTCTGTATTTAGACTGTAAAAATAAAGAAGAAAATTTCAATTATATTAAGTTCAAAGAAAGAAAGATGAAGCACGATATGATAGAATACAACCTGCAATTTGGAAACTTACGTTCCATCAACTGTGAAGCAGCTGTGTGGCCAATTTGGTTATTTTCTCTGGGCCTCAACTTTGTTCACTAGAAATTAAATCACTAGACTAGATAATTTTCCACTTTATTACTCTTTTCACAAAAAAATTTGTTACAAATGTGAAACCCATTCAGTACAGAGCATATAATAAGCAAAAGAGACTAAAGATTACTTATAAATACTTCTGCTCTCTAAAGTGAAACAAATTTTGAAAATATGTATTTATATGCATATAAGTATCTATGTATTTACTACATAATTAAATATATTAAAAACAGCTTATAAGAACTATGTGTGGGAAGTTTTTTACAGCCTTTAATTTTCTTCTACTTAAACTAAAAAGATTACAACTGGTACTTAATAGTCTACGCTACCAAATGAATTTTAATGGCTACATTGTATTCCATTCAGATATACTAAACAAAATTAAATCCATTTTAGTATTAATAAACTGATATGTACCAAACAGCACTGAATTAAGTATCCTTACACATATAGTTTTATAATCACTCATGATTATTTGAGGACAAATTTCTAAGGGCATATACAGCTCTAATATATTTGTTACATGATAAAAACTACCTTGAAGTACCTTGTTATCAGTTTACATTTCCATCGACAAGGTGTGAAGTACCCATTTTCTACACCAATAAAGTACATGTACTCATTAGAAAAACGGGCAATTTCCCCTTTCTCCCAATAGATGCTTACCTTCATATTCAGCTTACTTAATACTTTTGCTCTGGAGAAAATCCCAAATGGAATTTTATTGATTCGATTGTGTTCCATGTTGAGGGAATAGATGGTAGAAAACTGAGATGGACCACCCACTGGATATAACTGGAAGCAGTTTCTAGCTAAGGTCAAACTATTCAGTTTTACAAGACTGGACAAAAGACTCTGTTTAAAAAAAAAAAAAAAGCAGTAAGAATATGATGTAGATCTGAAAGAACACTTACTTTTGAGATATTTTTTTTTTTTTTTTTTTGGTGGAACCGGGGATTGAACTCAGGCCCTTGCGCTTGCCAGGCAAGTGCTTATTCCACTGAGCCATCTCCCCGGCCCCCTCTTACTTTTGTATAGAATACTAGTTCTAAATACAAATGTCTTGAAGGGCCGTGCATGTAATGAACAACAGAAACCAGTTGGGCTGGTTCTGGGATACCTCACCTACATAGCCATTACTTCATTTTAGCAAACTGTCGCCCTGCTTTGTAAAAATTGTGGCATTAACGTGGTCAGATTTCTAGATTTCACAGGAGATAGGAAATATTTCCTGATTATTCTTTAGCTTCAGTTTACTTAAAACACTCAATGGAGTAAAGCAAATATAGCTGGGGGTGAGAAATATCTTGTAAGTGGCCAGTTTGAGATTTCCATAAGAGCACAAACTTTAGAATCAGATTGTCTTGGTCTGAGTCCTGGCTCTGCCGCTGGCTGTACTAGTCACATCTTGACCTCAGTTACACACTTACTTCTAAACTACTATCAAGAGTAATATAATCCCTCTCACAAATGAAGCTCTCAATGCATAATTTAATAGTTCCTTTTATGACTATTCAATTCAGAAGATAATTATACTTCCTGTTATGCTGCTTTTCTATATGGTAAAATTTGAGGGAATACAAGTGTCTATTTAACAAGCACTTACTGTGCACATGAAACCTCATCTCTCTCCTTACTTAGCTTCCTATTATATAACCAAAGGGCCAAGTGTGTGTATATAAAACAATCTTTGCCATTTAGAAATCTAAATTAGGCAAGTATACAGATAGGAAATAATTGGAAAATAATACGTAAGTGTGTATCAACAATAAATTACACAGAATAGGCTCTTCCAAGTCAAAGTCTGGGTTAAGGAAAAGCAACATCAGCATCCCCTGGTAACCTGTAGGAAAAAAGACTCTGGGCCACTCCAATGTGCATTTCAACACAACTCCTCAAAGATTTGAATGTTCATTAATATTTTAAAAAACCCTGGGATAGGCTATTAAAATAATTTTGAATCCTGCATATATCTTTTAATAGACTACATCTTTGGACAAGCAGTTTGAATATTAGTTTATTTATTTTTAAAACAAGAATGCCTTATTTTGTAGACTGTAGTGAACACTAAGAGATAAAATACACAAGTGGTTAAATTTTAAATCCCTCATCTATTTAAATTCAAAGAAATCTAGGATAAAGAGACGAGGGAGGTTGAGATGAGCTTTTAAGAATGAAAAAGCATTAAAAAGTAAAGAAAACCATTCTAGATTGAAGTAAAAGCATAAGCAAAAAAAAAAAAAATCGATCAATCTATAGGTTTTACATAATGTTTCACTTCAGTTGTTTTTCATGAGAAAATTGAAGACTTAGTACTCATTGTCAGTACAAATGGCAAGGCCAATTGAAGGAATGAAATAACTATAATTGAAGGTGCAACTTCACAGGAAATGGGAACTTGTTCTTTACACTGAACATTAAGAAATGATCCTTAACACTTGTCTATTGCACTGAAACAAAAGAAAGCACAGATAAGAGCAGCACTTTAGAAAACTATATGGCAGTCAATTCAGAGAAAACATCTTCAATGTATTTTATTGAAAATACAGGGCCGGGGAGATAGCTCAGAACAATAGGCGCTTGCCTGGTAAGCACAAGGGCCTGAGTTCAATCCCCAGTTCCACCAAAAAAAAAGGAAAAAAAGCTTGAGTCCAGGGGCAAATACATTATTCTTTTAACTGACTTCATTAAAATGACATTCTCCTATCACAAAATGTTAGTATTTTGAGTATACTGAGAAGATACAAACAAGAACCTTTCATTCCTTATGTCAGTGTAGAACATGGGGATTGCTCAACATTCCTTTACAATCAGAAACATCTGGAGTCCTCTCTTAGATCTTTTACCTAACCACATTGTCAATTCTGGTAAATCACATAAGTTAATATATTTCTCACCTTATTTTCATAAAGATATTTATGGTGACAAATTTGGCTAAAATATAACCTCTCAGGTGTTACTTCCCTATCTGCTAAGAACATCTCAATAGTTAGTAGGATATAATGAAGATTAAGAGATAACACATGTAGCACCGTGTCTTCTCCTGAGCATGTGTGCTTCGAGTTACTAAAGGCCTTTTCCTTGTGTGTCTAACACTACATTAAAACTAGTCCATTGTCAGATGACTTACTCATTTTACCAGTTCCTATTTCAGCAAGACATTGATTTTCTTTTTAAAAATCATTTTCATGATTCTTCTTGCCTAAACCAACTTGAATATATCATTTACGGTGCTTAAGCTAGCTCTGAACTTAGGTAACTAAGATTAGTGTGCGTAATGCCTTGCTCACAGACTATTTTTAAATGAAGCAATGTTTTCTCATATTTGCCCAGCAGATCAGAATTTTTTTTTTTCAAGCAGTTTTAGGTTCAGCAAAATGAAGTAGATGGTGTGGACTTCCTATGTATTCCCTGAGTGCAGATATGCATAGCTACCCTCACTGTTAATATTCCCTACTAGGCATGGGTGGTTGGAGACATATACACACAGAGACATATATATATATACACACACACACACACACACACACACACACACACACACACACAAAGAAATAACAGTGAGTCAAAACACAGGGGGGTCACTTTTATAGAACATTTTAAATTATTAGGAAATAGATTTGCACAGCTCAACTAATCCATAAGTCCACTGAATTCTTAGTTGTTCAAATTAATATAAACAAATTATGTTCAAATTAATATAAACACAAGCTATTAATTATGCTAAAATAGATTATTTTAATGAAAAGATTGAAATTGCCTTTGTTTGAAGGATAATTTTTAAAAGTATGTCTCATCTGATTAAATCCCTAAGCACAAGTTAGTGAAATATTTTTCTCAGAGAAACACCATAACCTTGGTAAAAAAAAAAAAAATGTGTTACATAACATCTTGGTCATTGTTCTGTACTAAATAGGCTTTCATATTGCTGTGTCAGCAAGATAATATGGGTCATATGAGAGGTGCAGCTAGTATTAATCTTAATTTTTTCCCACATACCATATTTTTATACTTATAACTTCTTTATAATTGAAGTAATCAGGGTAGCTTTGAGTTTTTTAAACCTGTCCTGCAGCTTTTTAAGTTTTTACTGTGAATGCCAAAAATTTATGATAAAACTTTATATAGTGCTATAAGGGAAGATAGCACACTGACTCTTCTGATTTTTCCTCCCTACATAATTATAATATATATATATATATATATTCCTATACCTATTGTTTCCTCTTTAAAATTTTTAAACATCTTTTATTTATTTGGTACAAGGTCTTACTACACAGCTTGGACTCACAGTGATCCTCCTGTCACAGCCTCCCCAGGGCTAGGATTACAGGTGTGTTCCACCACATCTGGTTTCGGTGGCCGGCACGGCGCACTAAGGGTTCTCAGGTCAGCACAGCACATGGTACTGAGAATCGAACCCAAGTCCTTGAGCTCGCCAGGCAGGTGCTTAGACCACTGAGCTATGTCCCCAGCCCCTCTTCTTTAAACTTTTTTGTCTTAGTGGTGGCTATATATCCATAGCATATTCATTATTTATAAAGTCTCAATCCATCAATTTACCTAGTTGTAAAAACTGATTCATTTTCATATTATCTTGCAGATTTGTTTCATCAACTTGTTTTCTCTATTCCACTTCTTACCTCTGGTAAAGTAGAAATGTTATTGTTCTCTAAATTTAATTCTTCAAGTGCACTGCATTTTGCTAATGATCTGGGTATTGCTGACAGTCTATTATATCTCAGACCAAGACGACTTAAACTGCACAAGTTTCCTGTAAATACAAGAAAAAGAAATTTATTTTTCAGAAAACCTGATGAGCATTCATACTGTCTCAGGCTATCCATGGGATATTTATGTTACTCTGAAGCATTATTTTAGCTCCACCATTTCTTTGTCTAGGTTTTTAAAACATAAAATGATCCAACATTTTTTAGTCCAAAGTCCATGAGGCAAGTTCCTAAACTTTCAAATCCAAAGAACTTGTATTAAAGAAATATGCAGCTATAAATGCTTAAAATGCACTATCAAAATAATGCATTCCTTAACAAATTAATATTTAGATGCAACTTATAAGGAGTGGTTGTACAACTTAAGCATAATCTGAAAATATGAAATCTGAAATGCTCCAAAATAAGAAACTTTACAAGTATCATAACACAAATACACTGATATCAATCAGTGATAGCTAAGCATATATGGCTGGAGCACATATTAGCCACTACTGAATAATTTTTTAAAAGATCAATTTATTTCCTAGGCATTTCTAGTTTTATTGTCAAGTCTACATGGCAAATTATACATAAGATAATATTTGTTAGCATAAGAAAGTCAAACCAAAATTATTTCCCTAATAATATATAAAAGAAAATAAATTCAGATCACTCAACAGCAGAGCACCTCCCTTGCTAGCACAAGGTCCCAATTCAGTTTTCCAGCACCAAAAAATAAATGCATTCATTTTGATGTTTAACAAGGTGTCAGTAATAAGAATTTAGTCCAATGTATCTTTTTTCCATGCCTGATTAATTTTTTTCTAACTGCAAATTACAACTGCTACTATAGTATTCCTAAACAAACCAAGTTACAATGACAAATAATACCTTTACTTTTAAAGTAAATTTTGTTCAATTGCTTGATATTTACTTGTTAGAGACATTTAAATAAATTTTCAGCAACCTGCCCATTTTTTTCTTTTTGCTTTATTTTTCAAAGAAGTTCTATGATTAACTTTCTTAGATGCAACATTACTACAATACTTAAAAAACACATCACTCCAAAGCATAACTTAAGCTTTAACACTGTAAGTGGGCAGTCATTATGCCTCATAACCTTTATCTAGTTAACATTCATCTACTTCTTCTTTTTTTTCCCCCCGTTTTTACTTCTTCTTGTAGAAGAAAATAGTGAAGATAATTAAGTAGAAATAATTTTTATCCTCCGTACTTCCAAAGTGAGACTTGGTCACATAAAATTTAAAAACAACAAAAACCCTCTAGTTTCTTCTCACATACCATCCTCTTATAGTACTTCTTTATAACTGAAATGAGCTGGGTAGTTTGAATTTTTAACACCTATCATGGAAGGCCAGGGAGATATAGCTCAATGGTGTAAGTGCCTGCCTAGCAAGTGCAAGGTCCTAAGTGGGGGCTAAAAAAGTGAGCACAAGGCCAGCCCAAACTGCAGAGCAAGATCTTGCCTCAAAAAAAAAAAAAAAAAAAAATAGAATGCTGACTCTTCTGGTTTTTCCTCCCTCCATAACATATATATCTCCATTATTTCTTTTTGTAATTGGATTAACCAATTATAATGCAGAAAAACTTAGCAAGCATTTCAATTCTTCCAATTAGAATTATTCCACACATGTTGAGCTCATTTACCTAACTATTCTACAACAATGTTGGAAAACTGGCTCAGAAGTTTGCAGGTTCTAATTAAGATTCCAACAGACATAAAATAGAACACAAAAGGTACAATAAAAACTATCACTTAAAGATAATTTTATCTTTAAGGTGTTTTCTAAATTATAGCTATTTCACAAGTATCTTTCTGGTGAGATGTATCTATTTTAGAGAAGGTGAACACTGAACAACACAGGATAAATTTCCGAAACCTAGCGAATTCAGAAGTGATAAATAAGGGTAGGAGTATTATTTACTATTGCTTTCACTACATTAAAACATTGAACAACATATAAATGTTACTTAAAAGTTGTCACAAAGTAAAATGTGGTTTACGAGTATATTAAAATTTATGTATTGGCAAAAATAGTGATAAAATATTTAAATTAAAAGCATCACAGCATAAGAAAAGCACTAAGTACTTTATATTATTTACATGACACTGGCAGTTTATTTAACCTCTCAAGTCTATTTCTTTCTCCACAATAACAGTAAGAGTACCATATACCTAATAGGATTGCTCTAGAGATCAGATAGTACGTAATTAAAAAATTTTCCATCATAAGCAGCACATAAATGTTTCATACAAAAATCTTATTGTGTTGCATGTCTATTTTGTGATATTCTGTACCTATTAGGTTCTATTACAAATTAAGATGTGAAAGACTTCAAGATACTATGATAAGTGAAAAAAGCAAGATAATCACATTGTGGATTTTTATGTTCTCAACAAGGTATAAAAACATTTGTGCAGGGCCAGGGAGATGGCTCAGTGGAATAAGTGCTTCCCCGGCAAGCGCAAGGGCCTGGGTTCAATCCCTGATTCCGAAAAAGAAAAAAAAAAAAAAAAATTGTGCAGAACATGGGAAGAAAATGCATCAAACCAACAACCTATAGCAGCAGAATAGTCAAAGCTCTAAATCTACTTCAACTGATCTACATTTTTCCTTTTTTGCGTTTTGCAACTTAAAAATATTTTGAACAAGGGCAAACCTGTAATATATTTAATTTAAAAAATGGTAACATCTTTTCTGCCATCCATCCTTTCTTTGTAGATGAATATTTCACATCATATAGATCTTTTACATTAACAGGGCAAGTTTACATCTATACATTTTTATATTCTATGTTGATAGATAATACTTTCATATATACATATGTAAAATATATTTACAATCTGAAATCCCACTTAAAAGACTAGACAATGTTCTAAAAATGTAGATGTTAACTCTGTAAACAACAGAATCTCAGAAATGCTACAGCACGGTCTGTTTTTTCTTTTGCCCCCTGCCCCCCCACACACACACTAGAACTGAACCTCAGGCCTTTGTACTGAGTTAAATCCCCAGGCTTCCCTAACTCCCTCATTTTCTTGAGATATGGTCTTGCTAAATTGCTAAACTGCTCAAGTTGGGCTAAGCTTGTGGTCCTCTTGCCTCTGGCTCTTGGAAGGTTAGTGTTACAGGCATGTACAACCACGTCCAGCTCACTGAAGTTAATTTTGTGCACATATTTATGAATCTATATAAGGTTATTATGTTTTATAGTTTAATTCATTCACAAGGGTGCAATATTCGATATCCATTACACAATATTTCAAATTAAATTACTGCTCTCTCAGTATTTTCCAGCTGCAAACGTGCTATTTTGACAATGCAAAGAGGGAAAGGGTGAAAATGCCTATAAAAAGCACAACAAAAACATTCAGAAACTATCTAGAATTTTCAAAGACAGTTTCCTTAACACTTAATTCAATGCTGTATGACAACTCTACCCATCTCCAGTCAGCATGGTAGACTCATAACATTGAGCCAATTAATTCTAGCCTTAAAGGGTCACACCAGTTACAAATGTTTATTTCATTTCTGTACCATTTTTTAGACTTTACTGAGTTCGCTAGTATCAGAACCCTAGTGTAAAACTAGGCACACAAAACACATTTGGTACTTAATGAAAGTTTATTCTAATAAAGCAAATATTCATAAACATTTAAGTGGAAGATTATACTGTATAAAAGTATGTTATAGAAAGGAAGAAAGGAGACTGGGGAGATGGCTCAGTAGAATAAGTGCTTCCCAGGCAAGCTCAAGGTTCTGAGTTCAATCT